TACCTGTCAAAACCTTTTTTCAATTTATATAATAACCTGGTTATTAATAATAATTTACACAAAATTAATTAAAAGTAAATCCTAATTATTTTTCTAAAATTTCTATTAATCTAATAAAAGATTGTGAGTTAATAATAATAATAATAATATCAATTGTTTTGAAGTTTGAGCAAAATTTGTTTTAAAATAATATATTTAAAATAAATAAAATATAATAATTATAAATAATAATAATAATAATGAAAATGCAAACCGATTTTTTATTTATCGTATACTTTTAAAAATGTAGGTAGTAAGTGTACATTTTGTTTAAATTTAACCAAAACAAAATTTTAAGTAACCAAAATGGCGTCACAAAGTTAAAAAAACCGTTAAAGAAAAAAAACATTTGCTCAAACTTTTTTATCTAAAATGATTTTTAATTATTTTAAATAATCAAAAATTAAATAAAAAAAAATTTGGCACAATATTTAAATGTTTTATTAAATATTATTAAAATAATAAATAAGACTCAACGAAATAATTTTTAAAAATAATAAATAATAATAATAAATATTATTAGAGAAAGGGGAATAATGACATTATTATTATTATTTTATTTTATTTCTATCAAAAATTTTTTTTTTAAAAAAAATTTTAAGGCACATCGAAAAAGTTTTTCTTTTTTCCTACTATTTCTATAATAAGAGCTTGAAAAATTTTATTATTAGGTTATCTATATATATATATAAATAAAATTTTCTTAAAAATGACAAATTAATTTAAATAAAAATAAAATAATTTTAATGAAATTATTATTATTAATAAAAAAAAGTACAATTTAAAGTTTTTTTTTTTTTTTTTGAACATTAATAGCTCGTATATATAAAAAAACACTTTTTATTGTTGCAAAATTTAAATACAAAATAAAATAATTTTGTCATTTTATATTATTATAATTATAATTATTTTAAATAACTAAATGATAATTAAAAGTACAAAGATATTATTTATAAATATAATAATAATAATAATAATAATAATAATTTTGTTTGCATTTTTATAATTATTGAGTAGTAATAGTAGTAGTAGTAGTAGTAGTTATTGATACAAATGCATGGCATAAACTTTTAAAAAGTTTTTATTTTTATTTTTTAAAAAATTATTTAATTTATTTTATTTATTTTATTTATTTATTAATTTAATTTTTTTATTTTTTATTTTTTGTAAATTAAACTTTGGTTTTTAAAATCAGTCAGGTTGTCATCTTTTTTTCTCTTTCTCTTTCTCTCTTTTTCAAATTAATAAAAGCGACCATATTTAAAAATAAAAACTAATTTAAAACTAAACCGAAAAATTAAAATTTGAATTTAAATAAAAAAAAAAAAAAAAAAAAATTAAAAAATAATAATAATAATAATAAAAGGAATTTTAATAAAATGAATGAATTTGATAATTATTTGTGATGGGAACTGATGCCTGAGTGAAACTAATGACTACTTTTTAAAGTTTTTTTATACATAAAAAAAAAAAAAAATTTAATAATAATAATAATAATAATAATAAAAACGTAGTTTTTTTTTTTTTTTAAGTACTCTTTAAAAAGAATATCAACGAATTAATAATACACATTAAAAGTCTAATTAAATCAATAATAATAATAATAATAAAGAAAAACTCTTTTGCTTTTAAACAATAAAGTCTTTTATCATTACATCAGAAGACTCTTTTACAAAACTTTAATTTTTTATTTATTTATTTATTTTATTGTTTTATTGTTTTATTTTGTTTTAAAATCCTTTTACTGAAATAAATGAAGAAGAGTATCTTCAAAATAAGCAATTAAAAACATGATACTGACGCCTGT